AGGAGAGCAATTTTACTCCTTGGTGATGGAGCAAATCCGCTCCTTTCCCAGAGTGAAAGGGGGGTGAAACTGGAGTTAGCTATTTTACTCTCTTTTTTGAGAAAAATCGCTCCCCTTTTTGTAAGAGTGTAGTAGTCTCCTCCTAGTCTTCTCCACGAGTTCAGGCTCCTTACCAAGTCCCGATGTTCAGAGCCCGTTTCCAAGGTCGTTTACCGCTCGATTCCGCTCTTGGTCTGCCCTCGGGGCATCGTGCCGAGAGTACGCTGTGGTTGGTGGCAAGTCGACCGAAGGCCTGGATGTAGCATGACGGGGTCCGACGCACCCAGAGACATCGGATTGCCCAGCCCCAGTAGCCAAATTATCAAGTCACCCTGGGTGCACATGTGATTATCGCAGTCCTGATAATCCTGGGCGAAGACTGAGCCAGTATGGAGTACCCGAGCCGAACTCATCATGCTGGATTTGATTCGTCTTGGTCAAACTCAACGGAATCCTCTATAACATGGTTGGACCTGAGACCTACGGCCCTACCTACGGTTGGACCTACGGCCTTCCGCATCACTGGGGTCCATCCTCGCGACGTGGACGCGGGAACCATTGAGGACTGTCTCCATTTCATTTAAACCAAAATTCAACTGTTTCTGACTCACGTCCTAGAGACACTATTAAAACTACGGTTATTAAAGTTTGAGACACTCCGAAAACAAACACACACATGCATCATGGGATTCACCTCTTTCAACAGAAGGAATGAATGAAGTCAATTCCCTCAGTGGGAAAGAATAGCCGTTGGCACCGTATCCAGGTTGAAGGCTTCCGTCGGTTGCCACATACTTAATTGCGAGGGTGGCATTCTGGATGGCTTCCCAAACTTCGATCTACATTGAGAATGAGGATTTTCTTAATGGGGCTTTGACAAGGCCAAAATTAACCACCTCATATACTTTTAAGTGCATGCGGATGACTCACGTCCACGGAGACTTCCTTCGAGGAAATGGGGTTAGAGACGTTGACCATCACATGATACGTTGCGTTTCTGCTTCCAGATCCAGCAGTCTGAAAAGATTTCGTCATTTCCAATGCAGTTGAATTCACAACTTGGTTCAATTGATTCCCATCGCCAAAGTTCCAAGTAGCCGTCGCCTTTGCTGGTAGGGTGGAACTGGAGCAGGTCAGCTCAAACATCACATTTCCTGTGAAGGACACACAATACATGTCATTATTGTGAATTTGTTGAATAAGAACATCCACAAAGCATCATCAGTTTTCAGGTTTTCGTACCTCATGAGAATCGGAAAGTATCAACAAGAATGACGAAGATCATAGACTGAAGTCCATGAAAAAATTTGCATTTGCTTCACCATGGGTCATGGGAAGAACGACTGAAACACTGGAATTTATAGTATGCGGACGTGACATGAAATGAAGTGCCTTCATGTCACTCTTCCGGAAAATGAACGTCAGGTACATGACTCGCAGTTTCGAGTAATCTGCATAGCCAGGTATTTGCCTATTTAGCCAATATATTTGTTGCCTTAAATCTTATGTTCATTAGCTTCCATTCGTTAGGTATTTCTTATTCATATATGTATAGGAGGCTAATCTGTTAGTCTTTCATTCCGAGATACTACTTCCAGACGGTTGAACGGATTTTCACGAGTAAGGTTTCAATGGAAAGCTTAGCTCTTGTATCAAAACTCCAAATAATTCTAACCATTTCCAAGTATCAGATAATAAAGCCAAATTGCGGCGATAAAAAAAAGCATTATCCTGAACGCATTCTCGGGGCGAGGTGATTACTGATCACACATCATTGCCCGCATTCGACCAGAAACTCGATTGCCAACCTCGCTACACGCCTGATGCACGGGCTAGATCGGTCCTATCATGCCAACACGCATCCGGGCAGAGCTCGAAATCATCCCCTATTCTTGGGGGTTCGAAAGATGTCTAATTTTAGGCGTTCGAAATTAGAATGACGGGTCTAACTTTAAGGCTAAGGAGCAGAACTCGCTGAGTATTTGCCTACAGGCGATTGGGGTTTCCATGAGGGAACGCATTCCCTACTATTGATCGAAAGCATGTCTGTTTTTGAAATTCAAAAGTTGTGTCTCTTTAAATTACTATGAGACGGAGCTCATTGGAAAGTGTAATATGCGGAAATTCGGATCGACCTGAACCATCTACTCTTCTCCATCTGATTCCTAGGAGTTCCAAGTTATTCCTTCGGTGTGTCTCATTTGAATACTATGGGCGTCAATCGAGAGCGTAAGACATATAGGCGACACTATTGAGTCAAACGTCCAAAATGTTTGGACTTTAATGGGAGTAAGTTCCTAATTTCGGCGATTAGAATAGCATTGCACTGAATGTCTTCCCGGGCGATGCGCTCACAACCAACAATAAGAGTACGTGACCTTGTCGGCTACGGACGTCGTTGCTGTGGAAAACAGCGGAGGAAAGAGCAGAACGGTGTGCACAAAATACTGATTCGCAGGCAGAAACAACGAAACTGGCAAAGAAAGAGCAGAACGGCATGCACGAAATGCTTTCATTCGGCTTATTTCAGCCCGTGCGTACACGGACTTTTACCCTGGTTTCATTTAAAATGAAACTCTTGCATTTACTCTTATTTCCTAACGAAATATTGATTTATATTAATGGAAGAAGGATGACGCACGCAAATACATTTGATGCTGAATTCAAGGCATGCGGTAAAACGTGTTAAAACTGGGATTGAATTTTGGAAATCGTCCACTTAATTAGCAATGTCGTATTCCACTTACCAGGGGGGACGAGGACGACGCCGCTAGTGAGACCGCTCGAGACCGTGAGATTCCAGTTGTTTTCAACAGGATCCAGAATTTCAATCTCCACTGAAGTGGTCTGGAAGTTGGCTACCCCGATCAAGGTACCCTGGGTATTTCTCACTTCCACGCTCACATTCTTCATTCCAATCGAGGCATAGGAATGATTGAATTTGTATATTTGAGACGGGTTCACCATGTCGACTAGTTTGTTTTGGGAAAAGAAAAAAATGCAAGGCATCGGTATATGGCAATGCAATGTTACAACAAAATCAGTAGCTTTCACGGTCGAACAATAGAGAAAACCAGATATTCCATAATTAGCTAAAGATTTTACTACCAAATGCTACAGTGGTCGAAAGCAAGGTAACGTGTCCGTTCTTACACTTTTTCAGGCCTCAGAGTTCGAACAATAACGCTGATACGGGGAGCAATTTGAAGTGGAACTTTATTTCTTAAGGTCGGTGTCCGGTGTATAAGGTTGAGTGCGTAAGAACTGCTGGTTACCTGATATTCACAATATCTGGAATTGACTTGATTTGAGTTTTATTCACGCGAAGTGAATAAATACCTATTTCATCGACCAAAGAATGGACTTATGGAGTTCCTTTAAACAGGGTCATTCAGACTAATGAACTTTCGATTCCTATGCAAGTTATGTACTATTAAGTTATGTATTATTCCTATGTACGTAGAGCTCGTTATTTTTCAAATTTTCCCGATACTCGCAAACCGATCAGAGCAACCTTGATGATGCACCACAATAGAGAGTACTTCTTTCGTATAGCGTTTTGGATAGCAACAATTAAAGTTCAATGTCTAGGTTAGCTAACCATTCGATTGCTTCAACCATTCGATTTTGTTGGCTCTGAGAAGAGCCTTTTAACGGTATTATGTTGTTGCTATCCAGATCGGGAGGCCTTTTGGGAGCGTTCGATCGCTGGGTTGATGACATTAGTTGTGACGAGCACGTAACAGTGGAGACCACGAGAAGGTTGTCATCACCTCCATCAATAGAGAGTACGAAAAATATGGTTGAACACGTATCAATCAAGGATTCAAACCGCGGCGATAATTGATTATCGATAGGTTGGATACCCCATTGTAAAAGCTGTGAACTTTTATTATCACAATAACTGATAGTACAACCTTGCAAAAACCAGTGCTTCGACTTACTGGTCCTCTCTAGAATGGTTGCACTGCCATCATCCCAGAAGATGTAGACGAGAGCTGGAGATCCTGAATCCATCATTATGCTCACTTCTATTTCTGCTCCTGTTGCAAACTGCGAATCCGCCGTTGGACTGACGATCTAATTACATAATGGGAAATTTAGTGTCTGTCACCTTTCATATCCAGACGGATATCTGTGCATTATTCATAATACTGAAGGACCTCATCGTTAAGGGGGCCCATTAGTTCAAATAGTATTTCAAGTTTTCCATGGGCAAGCCACACCAATTCGATGACAGTTAAGTCCCCATATGCCGACAAAGAGAAATACTACCAAAGCAAAACATTTCAACTCCATTTCAAAGGTGCTCTGCCAACAGGCGATTAAATTAAGAGATTCTCTCAATTGATTTCATTAAACTTGTCAAGTGATCTGCGATTTGTTTCCAAGCCCCATTCACTTCCAGTATCGAAATTGTCAGCAAAAAAAGTGGAATTGGAAATCTGACTCTTTCCAAGGTCTATAAACAATTAAACGAAGAGACAAGACGAGATCCAAAAATGTAACATGATCATTTTTTATTTTGGGACTTGGAGAGAAGCCTCCACCCTGTATACGAAGTAGATAAATGAACATAGAACTCATTCAATATGGAATTCCATTGGGTTTACCTTAAGATTGGAGATGGGGATGTACGGATCGATGTAAATATCGTAAAAGGGAGATGCAATCCAACCTTGGACATCGTTGAAGACTTTTAGAGATACGGTGTAGTTGCCGCCCTGGAAAATAATAGGACATCTTTGAATCATTATCAAATTAATTCATGCTGAAAAAGATTTTTTTCGAAATGAATTCTCCCACAGACGAAGCTGGGAAGGGAATTTCGAAATATGAGCTACTGTGGCCAGTCAACTGAAAACAACAAAACTCGTATAAAAAAAATCAAACGAATGACACAACTTCATAATATCGCGAGTAACTTTTACATACACCAAAGTAACGTTGAAAATGTAATTTGCAACAGTGCTTCCGAAGGATGACATGCACTGTGACATAGTAAAGATGGCCACCTCCATGGAATGTCAGATACGTGTGATGCAGTTTTTGCGTGTAGAAGGTACGAAACCTCATGAAATCTATCAAAGGATTGATGCTGTTGATGGTGACACATTATAGTCATAGAGATAAGTGCGTGAATGGCATAAAATATTTTTAAGGGCTGAAAGGCAAAGTGGTCTGCAAAAATTTCCCGAAAAAAGTGTCCCTGGTTTTGGGCTTATAGGACCTTGTTCCTTTCATAGAAAATTATAGTTTTTTTTGGAATTAAGTAAAGGATGAAGTGATCTATCGATACATACCACGTTTTCTCAAATTTATCCTGACGGTCACTGGAATATTCATCCATTTCGTGTGGAGCTCCAGGAAATAATTTTTTGTATATAGGCCACTTTACCATTCAGCCCTTCATTTCATGCCGGATTCCTCTGTTGAGGGGATACCCAGACCCAGACGAGCCAATGGGAAGACAACATCACGAATTAGACCCGAGGATTAGAGCAAAAAGAAGCGTGCTTCTGGGTACCATAGGCATTTAAGGGGAGATTAGCCATGGGTCTGTTTACACTGTCGTCCACGTTCTCTTGCAGTACCATTTGGTGTGGGCCAGACCTGCATCGAAGTGCTGTACCAAAGATCAGAATACCAGCATTGTCATTGTCTCGCATATCTGAGCGTGACCATACTGAATAGGACTGCTCCTTGGCCAGGATCGAGGCATGCGATGAAACCTGGTGTCAATGGATTGACAATGACACAATGAAGAGGACGTTGAGGGTGGACGATACCGCATGGAAAATGATGTAGAGACTGTGAGAACATGGAGCCACCAAATGGTAATGTTGTTCTACACAGAATATTCAGGCTATCAAATTGATCCCATTTTGGTCGTGAAAAATTCTGTCCTCCATGTGATGCGATTTACCCATTCGCCACTTCCTCTGGGGAGGTGGCGGTGGAGGTAGGAATTTTATCCAAAGACAATGGGCGAGTTTCACCAAATATGAAGTCGACCTTGGTGTTGGTGTAACACCATGCTTTCCCGGTGCTTCATGCCTGTGCAACACCTGATTATACACTAAATGCCATCTCAATCCCAGTTCGGTATTGGTGCGAAGGGGATTCCCTATACTTCATTATTGGATGTTACTCTAATCTTTTGAGGTTAACACCAGATCAATTCAAAAATAGTGTTAGCAGCGTAAGTGGCAGAAGGTAGAGGCGAGAATCGTGCGAAGCTTTTAAGAGACAAAAGGAAGGAGGGTCGAGATATCCAGAACATGCACAAGTTGCATACCTTATAACAGGGGTGTCAAACTCAAATCGGTCGGCGGGCCTCATTCCTTACCCTGCAGATGCCTGCGGGTCACACCCATAATTTTTCACCGAAATTTGTGCCAACAGTCAATGCAAGCGGAAATTCAAGAACAGACGGCGGGCCGGATGACCCACTTCTGCGGACCGGATGAACCACCTCCGTGGGCCGGATCCGGCCCGCGGGCCGTATGCTTGACACCCCTACCTTATAACATGGTGCCTAAGCAGAAGTGCCATCATAACGGAGCTCTACTATTGTCACGCTCTTAGATGAAAATTTGTGACATCATCAAACAATTAAATTTCAATTACTTGCTAGATGGTCAAATATGCACTTCTTCATACGGCCAATTGTGTACCCTTTAATGCATGATTTTTCGGAATGTAATCGAGGAATTTTTTTACCTTGAGAGTCGTGCATACATCGAGTATTCGACTTCCTATTCATCCTATTCGACTTCAAAAGATACACTTGTGGCTTCGATGCGACATGTCAAGGGGAGCCTCGGTCATTAAATATCAATTATGCTCCTCACCTGAGACATAGGTAATGGAGGGATTTTCTTTGAAAATCAGAGTTGCCTACTTTTTTCGTTCAAACGGGTGAATCGGGTAGACCCCAATGGATCTCACTCAGCTGAATGAAAGGTGCTGTCCTTTATCTGACAAAACTGAAGCGTGTCACATACCTTTAGCCCTCCGATGACCTACCAGAGGCCAAATATACGTACATCTCTTTGACTTCTTGCCTTTCACTGCCCTATCCCTCAAATATTTTGTTCTCAACTGTGTATATTGCTGCCGAATAGACTATACGATCACTGCTGAACTGAATATTCATAAAGACCTTATGCAAATTACCGTCACCCATGAATTTTATTAGGTCTTCATGAATGCCCTTGACTGCACAGTTCAGCAGTGATCGTACTTTGATGTATGCACGACTCTCAAGGTTAGAAAATTGCACATTTTCCAGTGGTTTTTACATGGGTCACTTCCAGAGGTCATATCTACGATAAATATGTGTTTAAAAAAATAATAATTAGTACCAAACGCACATTAAAGAATGGGCTTTCAAATGCTATTACTAACATTTCCCTCAGGTAAGGGATCTCAACGTTACAAAGGAGTTCCTGGAACAAATTGACTGCCCCCTCGTCTTTAATCGCAACATAAAGATGAAGGGAGGGAAGGTTTCCCATTCCATTTGGTATTACACAAAAGTAATTTTTCACTTAAGCGATTCCCTTAGTGTGAAAGAGCTTTAAAAATGTGTAGGGTGTTCCAAGATCTAGAGGATTCTGAGGGAGAGTCTTGATGCCAGAAAATTTGTTTGTGGGTGATGGCATGTTCGCCTTCTTCCACAAGACATTGCGATAGCGGGCTGGGACTTCATGCGCGGGTTTTCCTGTCATTGTCTGTATTGACATGCCGGGCCCAAGGCTTTCTTCACCGCTGCGGTAGAAACCAGGTATAGAATTTTTTGTGATAATGAGATTGTCGTATTTTAGAAATGAATGAAGGGAAATATAGGCGTTGCGATCCATGCCAACTATGAAAGGGATATACTATGACAAGTTAAAACTACAATTTGGTCGTATATCTATGAGATCATAGGTGTACCTTCGTTGGTCGCCAGATGTCGTCACTACTAACTCCAAATGGTTTACGAGCGAAAATGGTCTCACAAATGGAGTAATTTCTTCTTCGCTTGAATCAGTTTCGCTGGCTTCTCGTTGTGGAACTATGTTTCATTAAGGTCATCTTCTGAGAAGTCTAAATTACCCTCACTGTCTAGTTTAAACCTGATGGCGTCCTCATCCATGATTCCAATAAAATTCACGAATAAAAATGGCTTCTCACATGTAAACATTTGAATATATCTGAACTGGGGCAACACAGGGCAACGCGTCGCATCAGTCATAAGGATGAGCCTGAATGCATGAAGTGCCAGATTTGTCCCATGCATATTTTATGCAGGAATCAGAACATGGAAATACACCGAAGTTGACTAGAGCTATAAAGAAGTAGTAGGCACTCATTTAACCCTCATCCGGGCAAGCTTTTTTACAACCTATTCCGGGCAAGGTGAGTCTGTCAGACTCACATGTAAAATAAGGCCGTTTGCTGCGGTTACGGTATGTATATCTTATCTGTCAGACTCACATATAAAATAAGGCCGTTTGCTGCGCTTACGGCATGTATATCTTTGTAAATTTCTTTGTATTTTTGAAGAGCACGAACAAGGTGACAAAGTCACGAAAGCTCATTTTTCTACGAAAAAAATTATGACAGTAATAGACCGAAATATGTCGTAGTGAGTCCAGCGGACTCACCTTGCCCGGATTAGGGTTAAAGCAATTCCCAATTGTCACACACTATCCAATCAGAAGAACAAAAGATCTTAAACATCCTCATACGACCGCCATTTTCCTTCTCACAATTCCTTCGCGAAACAAACCACTACCGCCACCAGGCACTCCCCTACTTAATACTTCGGTTCAATGAATTTTCGACCCAATGCAGATGGACACTTAGGATTTATCCGTGCCGTGCTGAAGAAGGCAAAACCTGATTGTGCCACATGTGGCACGCCATGCATTGTAGTGTTAAACATCTACTGTAGGTGAAACATGTAGCCCAAATGCTGACATTATCCTCAGTTGGCCATTTATGCACAATATAATTTAAAAGAAGATAACAGTGAGTCCGAGGCAACGCAAAAAATTCATATTTCACCCTGACCACAACCGAGGTACATTTTACCCCTTGACGCTGATATATTTCCTGCCATTCCCAATTGACTAATGGTGAGTTGTAGGTTCCCAAATGGAAGTTCAAGACCACACGTGGGCTTGAGAGGTGATAGCCAGAGAATAATTCAGTTCTCTCAACATCCAACCAGACCCTTTTCTAGCTGAGTGATGGATTTCACATTCGCAAAAATACTATGGTTTACTGACAAAATAATGATATGGGAAAAGTGTAAGAAATTTCCAACTCGAATACTGTAGAGATCCAGTCATTTACCGCAAAACAGCCTTGAAGGTATGGGAGACAGTATTCATCATACCTACAAAGACCTAAAGAAACGATATAGGCGTAAGTATAGTTGTCGCAGTTCATTCGCAATAGCAATTCATGAGTCTCCCGCTGGCCGGTAGCTGCGTTATGGCCAAACAGACAATCTTATGAGCCTTGAACTTGAGAGAGAAATGAAAACAGAGCTAAAACGGCGCCGTTATTCTAGGTTCCATTTCAGTGTTAAGGTCGTTGGATACTTTGCGTATCGTGCGTCCTTTGCGTCTATGTTGGGGCAGGCAAGCAGACGCACGAGGGCACAAGCATTGTCCACACACGTCCACTTATATTCAAGGATTTCCACAAAGCGCAGGGCTTGCGTATGGAATTGGGATGAGCTCGATTGAAAATGCAAGCCTTGCGTTTTGCGAAGTTTTGCGGGCACGCGTGCGCTACCTCCCTGACCAAGCAATGACGCAAAGAGCACATGACACGCAAAGTGTGAAACAACCTTTAGTGTTGGTGTTAAAGTTCGCGTTATTGTCGGTGTCGGTGTCAATATCGAAGCTGGTGTTGGGAATAACCTCTCGACACTAACACTGGGAGGTAACACCAACACCCGATTGGAACTCACTCAATGGGATTGCGCTCGTCAGAACATGCACAAAACCTTTTTTGACGCGAAAATGCTGTGTCGAATGTTGCGTCGAATTTCTGACATGTATAGTGTGTCAAAAAGGTCTCTTTTGCTAGGTCCCGTCAGGAATCTTGAAATGTTCCTGCTGTGCAGATGAGTCTAGAAGGGCTATAGGCCCTTGTCGACTGATTTGCGCAGCGGAACGCTAGTTGACCTCATGTAACATGAGATCAATTATTGTTGCATACGAGATATATGATAGGCAATCCTCGCCTCAAGGGAATTACACATTTAACCCAGGGAGGACTTATTGACCTCCACCCTCCACTGTCATCTATTTCAAACAGGGCTGGGTAACGAAACAGAAACTGAATTTGATGCTGGAACGAAGCAGAATCAGAAACGGAATAGAAACGAAATAGAAACAAAATCTTGATGATGATATTAACGATATTCGATTGTGCTTTTCTTCCTGAAGTTTTCTTCCCCCTCCGACCAACAGAACGTCAAACTCCAAACCAGTAAATGAGTTCGAATTTAATTGCAGTACCAACTGAGTCACTGAGTAGCCATTTTACTGGTCAATATTTCATAGGTTACTATTAAAGCGCCTTTGCAAACGGATACTACTACCATTAACAGGGAAGTTTAAATTGCTTCTCAAAATACAGGAGGAGGGATCACCCTGACAGCTATGCTCGCTTTGGCATCTGCGGACTGGTGGAACGAAAAACAAATTTCCATTGAGCAGTAGACGCAAGACAAGCGCCATGGTGAAGAAGAGGAAATTTAAACTTGGTCAAAACAGGTCAACTTGGTCAACTTCCATGGTTAGGGTTGTATTCGGAGATCTTGATTTATACTCTCTCAAAGTCTTCATGGACTTAACTGGGTAACGGGAGAATAAAAACCAGACATAGTATCAATGCCATGTCGACATCGACAGTTGAGATATGGTTGAAGTAGACATATCGACGTAGAATCAAGAGCAATTAAAGCCCTACTATTCGTAATTTCCTTTTATTAAAATTTAGATCGAGTCAACACATGGTCAGAGAAGTCGTTTGGAGGATATTAAGCGCAAATTTGTTTTTAAATTTGCCTTCACCATAAGCTGAATCATATTTTCACATGTCCACGTAGTCTCAAGCAATATCGGTATTGCTCAAATGAGGAATTCCTACATAACATGAAATAGGTTCTAGCAACCGACGCAAGATGGCGCCTAACTGGCGACTTAGCGATTCCATCTCTGATGTCACTGGAATGAGCTTTCAGTATTTTCGATACGATACCCTATATTTACCCACGTACAACTTAGAGGAAGACTTTGAAGTTCCATAATACATCCGTTTAAAAAGGTAATCAGGCGGAAGCAGACTCCAGTTATATCTGGCCCGGCGGTTCGAAGGAGCAGTCTAATGATTCCAAACTTCATTTCATGTCAATTTACTACCTCTTGGTGATTTGGGAAACTTCTCAATTTGCTTCAAAGCAGGGATGCCCAGTCTTTTTTTTTGTTGCCAAAAATTGACTCTTGGGTACTCATCGTGGGTTGGGTATTGGGGGAAGCAGGACAATCTTGAATGGGATGGCATATCCCCATGGATGGCAATGCCAAAGGAGGTTGTGCAACTCTGCTTTATAGGTTAACACGTTGACGACCAGCCTATTTTTGCTTGTCCGCCGCGTAATTCATTGAAAAAAAATCTGCATCCTGGCATCAGGACGCATTGTCGCCAACGTGTTAAGTCTGTCTCTTCTCCAGCAAAGGAGGGAGATTGCCCAAAATATGATATCAGATGCTTTACATCGTCGCTGGACAGAACGTGGTACGATACTACCATTACAACCAAGATTTTAATCTTGTAAGTTCCAGTTTCCCATGGAATCAACCACGGATGGAAGTATTTGCTCGACTACCTGAAGCTGAGAGGTATAACAGAATACTTCAAGATACGAGATCATTATTACTTATTATAAAATATTCAATACTGAGAAAATGAGCAGGCCAGGACGTTGATGGTTAAACGATGTAACAGTGCGACACATTAGCGTATTTTTACGAGAATACTTGAGTGCAAATGCTCGACTGCGTCTCATTTCAGCTTTGTGGTAGCTTATTAACACCTTTTACGCAACGTTACAAAATTGTTGCGCGAAAAATGCAATCCTCGCTCAACGTTGACCTAGCGTTGTTTTGCCGACCGGGATAGGGTGACAACGGCTGGGAACTCTGTTCATGCTGCCACTTGCAGCCTCTCTTCTATTGTTAACAATGGATATGTCAAGTACGACTGTTAAAAAGGTAGTTCTGGTCAGTTACACGACACTCCGACCCTGGCTGACCACGGTGAATCGGCCTAGGCTACTATGGCAACTGCGAAAGAGCTGAATGAAAAAAAAATGCGAAAAAACTGATTTCAGTATCTGACATTTTCCATAAATATTTGCAAATGAAGAATCTTTCAGGCTTCACAGCTGATGTGAGAGGAATAATGGAGAGAATGGTGGCAGAAACAAGATAGATGTCTCTTTCGATTGAAGGAAAATTGTTTGTGTCTTGGTCATCCCCAGAACCTAAATTGCTTTCCTCCAGACTTCGGTTAGTTCTGGGCTCCTAACATTCAAGCATGCATGTGATGCATCAATCCTTCTGGTGCGAAACAATTGGATCGATTTGGCCTGAGCGAGCACATTTTGAGATTTGGCTGGTGATCTTATGCACTTCCATTGTGCAATCTTAAGGAAAGGATCAGAAGTGAAAAGAAAGGAACTTGGTAACGTAATTTTAACAGAGTAGAAATAGAAACAAAATTGGAGGAAGAGAAACAGAAACGAAATACATTGGGGTTGCAAAGAAACTGCACAGAAACGAAACGAAATCGATTTTGTTACCCATTCCTGTTTCCGCTGCATTTTTGGTGACTTCACGCAGAAAGGAATAATGCTCCGCCACGAATATTTTTTTATGTGTTCAGGCCAAATCTATGAAAAACCTTGAAAACCTTGGTTTTCCTCTTTCTGAGAATAAGCAGATCCCGTCCCCAAGCTGCTGATAGATCAGCCGCGTGTGGTCACAGCCATCTTCCGAGCATGGGATGGGGTAGCTGGCCTTCCCCCCCCCCCCCCTTGACCTCGGGGGTTGGTGCCCTCCCCTTTCTGTCAAATCGACACTCCGTCATCATTTCCCCAGAATTCCGACACACTTCTGACCCGGAAGAGCCCATTGGGCTCCTTGAAGTTCTTATAAGAGTCCAAAGTGTGTCAAAACACATTTTTTCCCGGATAAAATGAAAACTAAATGCGTCCAAATGACCATACAAGTATAAAATGTGTAACTTCCACACACCAAAAGTATTGTGTGCAGGTCGTCAACAGAAAGGGCACAAGTTTCGATCTATATACTTCCCTTGACTGTGTCATCTCCAAAATCCTCCAGTTACGGCGGTTTGGTGGGCGAGATGATGCGTGTTCTGAAATCTGCTTTTGACAAATTTATTCATCTGATTTTTCACACCCTCAAAGAAAATACATTAATATCTTCGGGTGACTGTTCCAAGGCTCACAGATGGCTTCTTCCACAAGATGAAGTGGAAACCGACATGTGTCTATCAGGGGCATCCAACTAGCGGCTGGCGGGCCGGATCCAGCCCGCCAATTCATTTTCTCCAGCCCGCGAATTCCTCTTTAACAGTTTATTTCGGAAAATTGCTGCAAATTTCAGTTGTTCGCATTAAATATGAGGTGCATGTGGTGTGAGATTCATTA